CTAAATTGTCTCGACATAAGGTTAAGGATGATGGATCCAATATTCGGAGGTTCGAGTTTTTATGTCTTAAAATGTTAGTTCTTACGGTTTTGTGTGGTTATTTTAACTTGGGGCATAGATTGTCGTGGTTGACGGTTTGGAGAGAGATTATATCAATTCGTTTAGAAAGATTTTTTACTTTCTCGTGACTAGGTTTTAATATAACATAAACTTACTTAATCTTGCCTAGGTGTTTGATTTGTGATCAAGGGTTGGAGAAAGTTAATCAATCCACAAGGTTCAGGTATAATTAGAACCAAAGTAAATCGTTTGGTACTATTTTAGAACATACTAATTTTTTCAAGGTTTTAGCCTGGGTCATCTAAGAGGAAGGAATTCAAGTGAAGGACGAGTAATCAATGTTCTTCACTGTTTATCCTCATTAAAATGGTTAGTTTTCAAAAATTTCTATTAGTCTTGGGTTTTTATAAGGGTTGGGGAGTGTTTCGACGTTTGAGGTCGTCAGACACCTTGAATGATAAGGTGGGGAGAACAAAGTTGTTCCGTTTGATCAATGGGAGGCCTTGATGATCAGATAATTTAGTTCAAATAAAATATAATTTAAGTTAAGTTAAAGATCCAAGGGAAGCCTTGACGTTATTTTTTTAAGTTGAAAGTGATTTATTAAAAAGCAAGGATAAGCCTTGATAAGTTTTACATTAAATTTTTAAGTTAAGGTTTTAGGTGATGAAGCTGGGATGAAGAAAAAAATTAATTCTTGAGAAGCAAGAATTTTGTATTTGATTTAGTAAAACTAACGATAATATTTTCTAACTAATTTTAGTAATTATATATTCAATAAGTTATTTATTTTATAAAAGTTTTCAAATTAATTTACTGCAGATTTGGAAAGGAAATCACTTGTGCATCTTTTTATCAGTCGTTATTAATGTATATTTTAGGCTATAAAGCACCAAGTAAGATTTTGAAGAGGTATTCTTCAAATCATTTTTTATGTATATACATGAAAATCTAAATAAACTGCATAAAGTATTCTGAATACAAATACTTGTTGCGGTTTTCGTCGTACTATCATGTAGTAGATCGGTTCGTCGTTTTTGATCGTTGTTCACGCCGTGATCTCGGTCTTCGTGGAATACCTGGTATTTCTTGTATTTTTTGAAAATTTGGCATAGATTCATTGAGACGTAAAGACATTCTATTAAATTGTCTATTCCATCTAACATTTTGCAATAGTCTATTTCTAATTCTAATTATCTAAATCTAGGTTAGTTAAGATTCTAATTATCTAAATCTAGGTTAGTTAAGGTCTTGTTCGATACTTTTGGTCGCACCAGATGAGTTATGTACAAGGTACTGTACTCATAGAGTAATTTCAGATATGGTACACCGTCTGTTCGTCACTCCTTAGTCTAATGCCAATCTTTATCTTACTCTTATATCTCCTAGTCTCAATAGATCTAGTGTATGCTGGTATTTACGAGTTGGTTCTTGGAGTTTATCCAGAAGGAGAACAACTGTAGTCTGAGATTTATTCAAATTGTTCTGGTGCTGAAACTACAAGTAGTTTCAGCACTTTACAAATAAGTGTCAATGTTAGTGATGGAATATGATTGGTTAGTTAGTAATATTTTATAGAGATTATTTTATCAATAATATAATTGGTTTATAAATACTAGTTTAGAACTGGTTCCATTATACGTCCCATACTTTAGTCTCCTGGAGCAACGCAACCGCTGGTTTGTTCTGTGCTATCCAATTTGCCGACTCCTATCTTCTCGTCTTATCCCCCTATGCAGATTAGCTGTATGACCACCGACCTTTCCTTCTGGTCCAGGATTTGGATGCACCTTGCCTTAACGGATCAACCTTAGGCGCCCTGCAACATCAGGCCTCTTTTCTGGGAACCTCTACAAAACCCGTTTGTTGACTTCTCGGAGAGCAGATGCTGCTCTTTGAAACAGAGATACTTCGTAATCCAATCAGATTTCGAGTGGCCTTTCATGAAAGGGATCTTCATGCCACTGTTTCCATTACTCTTTTCCAACTGTCAATTGGCTGTATTTGCTGTCTAATTTCTTGCTGCAAGTTCTGTAACGATACAAATCTCAATTGTTAATGAAGAGCATTTAATTCGAAAAAAGGTGCTTTTTGAGCTAGTTTTTAGTATTTAGTAAATGAGATACCACAAACAATCGTCGGAAGGGTCGAGTGATATATAATATTTAAATACTTGCGAAAAAAGCGAGCGAGTAGGCATAAATACGGAAATAACATGTAAAAAATTAGATTTACGCCAGGAGTGTTAGTGTTAAAACTTACTTGTAATGTACTTTTTGATGTTTCAGATTTTAATTGATGATGATTGTGTTAATCGAAAACTTTTTGCACCATTGATTTTTTCAGTTAATTTTTTTTCAAGCTTATTTTAGTGCCTTCTTGTCAGCCAAAAATCCTAAAAACCCAAAGAAAAAGAATTTTTTTTTTGGTTTTTTGATAAAAACTGTTAGACTTGCGATTAGCAAAGGTATTGAACCAAGTATCAGAGTTTTACCCCGTGATCAATTTAGTTTTCAGGACGCATCTGGACTCATCTAGTGCTACCTTGGAAAATGAGATGTTTTTTTTTATAATTCAAAGGTGTAAAAGTGAAAAAAAAAATCAATCAGTTGTTCATTTAGTTAAGAGGATTGAAAGTTTTCCAAATCACTGGTTCCTGATTTTTTTGTTATTCATTTGCTGAAAATTTGATAATTGTGAAGATTGTAAGTTAACGTAGTAAGTTTTTCCTTACTGCGAACTGAAGATGACATTGAAAACTAACTGTGAATAAAACTGGATGTTTTCGAACTATTTTTTTCTTCAAAAATAGCCTGAGAATTATTTCTGAAATTTAATAGAAGCTGAGTAAACTGTGAATCCAAAATGTTCTTTTGTTCAAGAATTAAGGTATCAAGGAGTCTCTATTAGAGCGATCCAAGCAAAATATGCCCTAAGATTCGTTAAAGCATTTTTTGACAATTTTTTGTCTATCGCAGTAACATTCGTCTCATTTTGAAAGTATTGATTATGCTTGCGATTAGCAAGCCTTATCAAATTGGAATATAGACCTATTTTCCGGATTAGCAATTTGTTTAACAGAATCACTTGGTATCTTGGTTTATTATGAATTTAATATCATAGCGTCTCCTGCACACTTGGTCTCGAGGTAAAGGTCCTGTGTTCGAAGATAACCAGGACCTGTATTTTTCAAAGTGAAAGTGTTTGTTTCAAATAAAATTGACGGCCTGTTGTTTGTGCTTATGAATTGTCGGCGTAGTTGCCGCATCTTAGAATCCTTTTTTATGGTGTACGCAATTTTCATTGTAGTTGCTTTTAGATTTAATGCAGCTTCTTGTAGCATTTTTTTCGTTTTTAAAAACTATTACAGCGTAAATTTGGGTGGTTTCAAGGGAAATACAACTTTTAGGCTCCCCTCCGGATATCACAAAATGTCAAATTCTTACACCAGATTTTATAGTTCAAAGTTTTCATGGCAACACTTTTGTTTTGTTCTTCTGGAAAATACCCAAGTTTTGTCGGATCAGTTGCATCTCGATAATTGTTTTTTTTTGAATTTTCATTAAACGCCGTCGGTTGTGTTTCTAGACGAAAGTAGAATATCATTACAGACAACATTTTGAAGTTTTTCAGTTGTGGTTTTTTGTAATTTTTTTGACTTAGTGGCTTTCCTTTCCTGTCTGCTAGCTTGCAATGTTATTTCTATCTGGTATCGCAAGTGTTGCGAAGCTCTGCGTCGCCTCTGTGTCATAAATTCGTATTGTACTCCTACTATCGAATGTATCTATTTTTACTCTTTCGTTCAGATCCGCTCATAGCCAAACGAACGAAAAACATTAAAATTTGCAAAAACAAATCTATTTTTGTTTGTTTGTGGTCGGAAATTTCTGTGTTACTTGCACAGCAACCGGCTATCCTTGTTGTGATCGGTAGTTTTCTTTTCAGTTTCAACTGACTCTTTGCACCGTTTTGAGGAATATTGCATCAACAGTGGGTGCGTTAAAATTTGAAGAAAAATTGTGAGACAGTTCATGTCGAAAAACATTTTCCAAACCTAAAATGTCTTCTTCGGCTAATTGGCTCTTTGAAATGATATTATTAGCTTAACTGACTGTTTTTGTTCGGAGGTTCATCCTTGGTTTGAACTATTTTTGGTGATAGAAATCGTAATTTAATTAAAGTTCTGAGTGTGTTTAAAAGCGCTATCAATTCTTATATTAGCTTCATCAGATCAACCTATTAAAAATCAAATTTTTCATATCAGGTTTGGTGTAGATGTATAAATATTTTAGTTTTTTATGGAATCAAATCGTAAGTTAAGTGCATATTTGTTGGCTCCGACGAATGTGAAAAAAAAAACAGTTCATTATCTTACCCTGATAAGAAAAGACAAGTTGATCTGACCTACATTGCCTGTCCTGGATTTCTTTTAAAAATACATTTACTACCCTGTCCAGACTGTTAGATGTTAGTTATTTTTTGCATTTGGAGTGCAACGTTCAGATTCTGTCTTCTGATGTAATTAGGCGAGGTGAAATTATTGGTGTTGTAAACCTTTTTTTTTGGCGAGACGCTTGAATTTATTTCAACCTTTGAGCTTTCACTAAGTTTGCAAGCTTTTTTTTACTTATACTAGTCGAGCGCATAAGGCAAATGGATGCGCCTGGTTCCATTTTGTATATTGAGCGCAACGAGAAATAATTCCAAAAACAAAGTGTTTCATCGTTGGAATTTTTTACAATCAACTTTGATCGTCAACCGAAAAGTCGATCAGCCCAAAATATTCGCTCTGACGAATCTGAATAAAAAACAGTTGACGACGCTGTTTAATTTGCGTTGAATAAGAGCAAGAGAGGAATCAGATGCTAAAAACAGTAAGAGAAGCTTCGCGTCTTACGTGTTGTATCACTTCCTGTTTCTCTTAATTTATCTATTCTTCATCCTTTAGAGGTGGAATGTTTTCTTTTCTAATTCATCATCAAGTGGCTATTTCCCCTTTTTAAATACAGCGCAGCATCTTATTTTCAGGTTTCTTGTAACTGTAATCTTAGAATGAAACTAGATCATTGTGGCACTTAAAATGACTACTTCCATTCTGCCGGAAAGTCAGTTACAAAATTCGCCAGAATTGAAAGATGAATCAGACTCACATAAAACACAGACCGCAGATGAACAGATGGCGAAAGATTCGGCCCCCGAGTCATCTGAACGAGTATCCAAAGCGGCGAAGACGAAGCGCACTTCTTCGTACGCCCAGGACGAATCAAGCACCGATCAAGACCAGTGTCGAATCTGCCAAATCGGAGACAGTAAGTTCAAATTATTTCTCCACTTCGCTCAACGGTCTCAAAAAGGGGAAGTTCTTGCTATGCTCAGATTTGTATACTTCCAAGTGTTGGATTGGTATATTAAAGGGGTGCAGTTTTTTTTCTGTAGAGATCCTGCTTAACTTATCTTCTGGTCTAGTGAGAGCAGTTTTTGCACATCGTTTAATTTTACGTTTTTAACAATTTTTTTGTAAAGCGAAACCTATACTTTGTTCGGTTTGATACTTGTTGGTTTATCGGCCCAAAATGCGAGAGGCTGTCGTGAAATTGTTGACGGCGATTAGAGAGAGTTTCGAACGAGAGCACACGATATAATTTTTAAAATTCAACCGACGTCGCTGTGCGGAATAATCATACCCCGAGTCTTGTTCTCGTGAAACACAAATTGCCTTCTCAGTTTGAGAAAGTGTGGAGTTTAAATTGTTCTACAGGTTGTTTTGTTTTATTTATTCGCATGTTTTCAGCGCACAGTTCCGATAACCCACTGATCACGCCGTGCAAATGTGCGGGCTCAGTGCGTTACGTGCATCAGAACTGCCTTCAGAAATGGATCAAGAGCAGTGACATCAAATGTTGCGAGCTCTGTCGCTACGAGTTCAAAATGCAGACCAAACTCAAGCCCTTCTCAAAAGTAAGATTGTTCACTGCCAGTCGAAAATTATACAACTGTTGCTCCGACTTCGGGATAAGAAGGAACTTATCAGCGATTGGGTATTTTTCATCATTAAATCACGTATCCGAAACAAATGTCGCACAACAAAAATATACATGATACCCTGTCGTTCGTAATTATAGCTGGATGAAAAATTTCTGGGAAGGTTTTCCAGTGTCGACAAAAAGCGGTTACAAGTTTGCTGTCATTGTGATTTTGAAGAAGTAGAGTTGAATTTAGTCTTTAAGCTACTAAATACACTAGCGGAGTTGGGTTGTAAGATCAGTTTATTTTCCCAATTAATACGCAAAGTTCTGTATCCAATGCAAATTGGATCCTGGAATTAAATTATTGGATGAATTATCAAAACAAGATTATTTGCGCCGTTTTGAGGCTCAGTTTTTTTATTGGAAGTTTTAGCTTTCCTATTCTAGCATCCCCATCCTGCATCGCACTAAATTTTAGCCCCCCCCCCCCCACCCCCCATGACACAAAATCGCAGTATCATGGGCTATCATTTTTGGTACTAGAATCGGGAACTGCATCAGAATTGTATTTTTTTTTCGTTATTTTACTGCGACAACAAAAAACAATTTGCTAATTGATCAGAGAGGTCAGCTGTGTGTCAGTTTCTTGTTATTCTAAGTTGAGTGTGGGCTTGGTGTTTTTTTTTCAGTGGGAGAAATTGGACATGTCGAACAGTGAGCGTCGGAAGATTCTGTGTTCTATTGGGTTTCATCTAGTGGCAATAACATGTGTGATCTGGTCCCTCTATGTCCTCATACAGCGCACAGCACAGGAGATCAGACACAGGGAGTTCCACTGGCCCTTTTGGACTAAACTGGTGGTAGTGGCCATCGGCTTCATCGGAGGAATCGTCTTTATGTATGTGCAGTGCAAAGTTTACGTGCAACTCTGGCGTCGACTCAAGGCAAGTTACAACTGCGAATTTGGAGTGTGAATAAACCAGCCACAGTATAAATCCGAAAAATAAACCAGCCAGAACATTTGCCCCAGATTATCATGTCAACCTGATGAAAATTACATCATCTGATTGAGACTCACTCGAAGTTCGTAACTGTTCCATAATTGTTACTGAACTATTATGTAGCAAATGCGTATTTTCGGCTGGTTTATACTTTGGCTGGCTTGCAAAAGATTTGGTTCCGCGTTTTTTGTAGAAACAATCAAACTAATTAAGTTTATCATTGGTATACTGAAAAAAAAACTATTGCTGGGAGTTCAGTATCGCTTTTGAAATCGATTAGTTTTTCATCCGCCGATTGATCCGCTACATTTATCTACAAGCGGTGCCAAGATTTGACCTGGGTCTACTTTATCTCTCCTTTTTTTTTTTTCAAAAATACATACGATTGAAAATATCTTCAACAAAAAGAGAAATAGATTGTAAAATAGATCCCGAATTCAAATCTAGAAATATATGCATATCTGCTTCGTCAGTTAAGAAGCAGATCTTCTGGCGGTTTATGGAGGCCAAGCTTAAATGCTAAATAAAACTCTCAACCTTTTTCCCATGAGCTTGAGCTTGCATGATGTTTTTAAATGATTTTTTTGGCTTTAGTGTAGAATTTGAATCTTAAATATGCTCGCAATAAATCATTTCAATTATCACCTGCGATAATTATTAATACGTGAAATAAGCTTAATACGTGAAAACACGAAGTAACTGCTAAAAGTAAGCATTGAATGCGTGAAGAAATGCATACTATGCAAGAGGCTTTTACCGAACTGGTTAATGTTTAGGCGTTCAACCGTGTAATTTATGTGCAAAACAACCCTTTGAGCTCCTTAGCGGCCCAAAACGTGCAAGAGTCTAACAACCAAACACTGCCTGTGCAAAGTAGCAGCAACAGCAAAACGCCTCCTCTTTTCGACAGTTCGAGTCTGGCTTCGGCTGCTATTTTGACCTCTTCTCGCCCATCGTGCTCTTCCTCGACTGCGAATCTCCAAGGTCACCACAGTTACCAAGGTCACGAAAGGCCAGACTCGAATCTTCAGCAGCCACGGAGTTTTTGTTCTCAAAGTGCGAAGTTGCATCAACCCGAAAGCGAAAATGCTATAAGTGTAACGCAAAGCTGTGATTCCAAAATGGACAAACATGTTTTACATGCACAATCAGAGCAAGAACATTTTTGTGCTAATTTGAACAGCTTTCCCACAACTTTCCCGACACAAAATGCGGACGATGTTGCTTTCGTGTCAAGTGATGTAAATGTTAGCAGTTCAATGCGGAGTGCAATCCAGAATCGAGGTGGCGGAAGTTCCGAGTTCCAGTGCTTCGCTCCGAACTCCAGCGAAGTGAGGGTCGATCTGAGCTACGTGCCGGAGTCTACTGAACAACCAGAAGATCAGAAAATTGCGACGGAGTTGAAATGTTACGTCTCACAGGTGTGACCAAACTGGGACGACATTGATTTAACTCTAAGCCGAACAAAGCAACTCAATTTCAAAAATACTGTATTTGCATTTCTCAGAACTTATTTTTCTATAGAACGAACTCATATCTTCATAGTTAGTTTATGTAATAGATGGAATCTCATATTGGCAGAAAGAGGAAGCTGTGTTGCATGTAGATAATTTAACTTTGTGGACTACTGAACTCTTTGTGAAGTGTGGCCATTATTTATTAATAAGGAAATGTAAACAGTGTTTTCTTCGAAGCCTGAGCAATAGTTAACTAAGTGTATGGAAATTCATGATGAGTAACTGTTGTTTCTTTTCGCAATTGATGTTTATTGTTACTGTCAACTGATGAATATCTGAGTTTGTAAATCTCAACAGAAACTCATTTGTCGATAAACATAGTTTTCAAATAGCCAGACGATATCTTCAGTCGAGCGAACTGTAGAAAAACAGAAATCTGAATAAATATTAAACTTTTATGACAAAAAATTAACCTCTCGCAGTCTTTAGTTCAGCCTTTTTTTTACATTTGCGAGAGCAAGTTTCTTGTAATCGGGAACTAGACTTTTTCCCCTAAAACAATTTTTCTTACAAGAAATTGAACTTGCTTTAGTTCATAACCATAACAGTTTCCAGGTTCTCCAGTTTCCAGTAACCATAACAGTTTCTCAACTAGCCTGGAGGTAACGCGGCTCCTTTTACACCCCAAGGTCTGGGATTTGAGTCCCGTTAGGACTTAATTTTTTCAGTAAGTCTATAATTGATTTTTTTTTCCGGTAAAAATTGAACTGTCGTACTTTCGTTTGTCTGCTCAATTTTTGTCGGCGTAGTTGCAATATCACGGAGTTTTTTTTGTGCTATGAGCAATTTTCATTATAGGGGCAAGTGTTAATTATTGTAGCTACAGAAGATACTTGAAACTTCCTACCACATCTTTTTTTTACTCAACAGGTGTCTTAACGATTGTCGGCTTTGTTTCCGCTTCGTAAGTTTTGTTCCGATGCTACGTTAAAATTCAAACGTCCTGCTTGGATTTTTTTTGCCTAGAACTTCTGTTTGATAAAATCAGGTATTATGAAAATGAATGGGATTGAATTTTTTAAATTGTTTTTCGAGACGTTTTAGAAGTTTTGACGTTTTTTGCTTTACTCAAAAACTACTCTACCGATTGTCAAAAAAGGGGTCTCTGTGAAAAAACCGCTTTCTCCCCTGTCTGCTCGCTCACATAATCCCCTAGTCTCTTAATACTTTATCCCGCTTGTAGCCTTCGAAAAAAATCTGCGGGGGTTGACAATATTTTCCTCTTGGCAGAAAGGAAGCTGTGTTGCATGTAGATAATTTAACTTTGTGGCCTACTGAACTCTTTGTGAAGTGTGGCCATTATTTATTATTAAGGAAATGTAAACAGTGTTTTCTTCGAAGCCTGAGCAATAGTTAACTAATTGTATTGAAATTCAGGATGAGTAACTGTTGTTTCTTTTCGCAATAGATGTTTATTGTTACTGTCAACTGATGAATATCTGAGTTTGTAAATCTCAACAGAAACTCATTTGTCGATAAACTTAGTTTTCAAATAGCCAGACGATATCTTCAGTCGAGCGAACTGTAGAGAAACAGAAATCTAAAAAAATACTAAAAACTTTTATTACAAAAAATTACCCTCTCGCAGTCTATTGTTAAGCCTTTTTATACATTTGCGAGAGCAAGTTTCTTGTAATCGGGAACTAGACTTTTTCCCCTAAAACAACTTTTCTTACAAGAAATTGAACTTGCTTTAGTTCATAACCATAACAATTTCCAGTTTTGTTCTCACCTAGCCTGGAGGTAACGCAGTTCCTTTTACACCCTAAGGTCTGGGGTTTGAGTCCCGTCAGGACTTATTTTTTTCAGTAAGTCTTCAATTGAATTATTTCCGGTAAAAATTGAACTGTCGTACTTTCGTTTGTTTGCTCAGTTTTTGTCGGCGTAGTTGCAATATCAGATTTTTTTTTGTGCTATAAGCAATTTTCATTATAGTGGCAAGTGTTAATTAGTGTAGCTACAGAAGATACTTGAAACTTCCTACCACATCTTTTTTTTGCTCAACAGGTGTCTTAACGATTCTCGGCCTTGTTTCCGCTTCGTAAGTTTTTTTCTGATGCTATGTTAAAATTCAAACTTCATGCTTGGATTTTTCGCCTTCAACTTCTGTTTGATAAAATCAGGTTTTATGAAAATGAATGAGATTGAATTTTTTAAATAATTTTTTGAGACGTTTTAGAAATTTTGACGTTTTTTGTTTTACTCAAAAACTACTCTACCGATTGTCAGAAAAGGGGTCTCTGTGAAAAAACCGCTTTCTCCCCTGTCTGCTTGCTCACATAATCCCCTAGTCTCTTAATACTTTATCCCGCTTGTAGCCTTCGAAAAAATCTTCGGGGGTTGACAATATTTTTTGGATTGTTTTTCTTTTTCTCAAAAAATACTCTTCCAAATCTGAGATTGTTGGTTTAATTCAATAAAAATGCTTGTGAAAACTTTTTCTGAATAAGCGACAAGACGCAAATTTTTCTAGATAGAAAATTATGTTTCTCGGAAGTATAAAATATTTGGTTTTTTGAGCGTTTTTCGAAACTTTTCGAATTTTCTCGAGAACTAGCCGCCCAAATCTGAGAGTTTCAATCGAAATTGTGTTCAATCCAAATAGCGGGTTGTGCCGAGCTTTCCTGCATAACTGCCTGCGCCAATTTTGTAAAATAACATTTTATGGCCCTCGGAGTAGTCAATCTTGTTTTTTTTTTCAAACGTTCCTTGAAACATTTTGAATTCTCTCAAAACTAACCGCACAAATTTGAGTTTTTGGATTCAATCGAAAATGCAGATTGTGTAAACTTCGACTGCATGAGTGGCTAGACCCAAATGTTTTTAATACAAAAGCTATCATTCTCGGAAAAGGCAAATTTTTGATTTGTTGACCGATTTTTGTAAATTTTTTGACTTATCTTGATAACTATTCTGCTTTTATTTACAGTTTTTTTCCGTTGAAAAATTAAAGTACCCATCTATACAATTTCCTCTAACTAAACATCATAATTTTATGAAAAAGTTAGCTGTCATAAGTTTTTGAAGTTCAAGGATTTTCAAATAATATGTTTTTTCCTTTAATTTCTCAAGCTATGAACTATAGTAATAGTAGCAGTTCATAGTCCTAATACATCTTAGTTTCAGAAGCTTTTTTGAATTTACTTCTTTACTTCTTGATTTTGATTCAGTTTTTTTTTTCTAACTGGGTTATTTTATATAAAAAAGTCTCAACGTATAATAACTTCAGCGTGGTACTAAGTTCTTTGAAATGCAAAGCGGGCATCTTTGAAATACTAAACATCGCTGATTTTCGCCAATACTTTTTGAAGAAAGCCTTTTTTGAAATGAGTTTTGATAACTCTAAACTGCAATAAAAAAATCAAAGTCTGAACAATTGATTGACTTTGAAAAGTTTTACACGAAAGATGTCAAATGAAAATTTTTTGTCATTACTAATATTCTGGGCTATCTTCTAGTTGTGAAAAAAATGCATTCAATGCTGCTAGTATGTGAGATACATTCAGGGTACGTGGATGACTGTTGACTCCCGCTGGTGCTAGATGTTTCCGTTTGAAACAAAAAACTTCAAATAAGATTTTTGTGAGATATTCGATTTTCCGCACGTGGTTGCGAATTACAAATTCCCATCCATTGAAAACATATACCTTTTACGCTTTCTGGAACCGCACTTCAGCCAACATTCGATTCGAATATCCTTGTTTGATTTTTGCTCTAAGCTGTTTTTTTTTTGTTTGTTGAATGTCCTCCAATTTAACCTTTAATTTCGATTCCGCTGAAAAATATAAATGCTTTTTTAGATTTTCTTTCGTTAGAAAAAAAAACTTTCAAATTGATTTCAAATTGATTGGAGCTCTTGCTAATTGAGTGTAGGATTACTGCTCTTTGCAGTACTTAAGTGCTGAGGAAGCGTCAAATTACTTAAGGTTGATTTGTAATACATATACATGTAACTTTGCATCCTTCCCTTTTTAATTTGCTTTTAAAGTGAAAAGCAATTGATTTCACCGAGAGTTGTTTTTAGCCTATCCTGTCTGCTAAAAAATGTTAACATATGCGATAGCAATTAATTTATAATCGGAAACTCGTTTCAGACTAGGGTTGCAATGTTTAAAACATCTTTAAAATACGTTTAATACAGTGTTTAAAACACCGAATAATTTAGTGTTTAAAACACCTTCCCCTGATTGGCAGATTTTCTAGTGTGCTTTGGCCTAATTGTTGTGATAATTAAATAGAGATGAATGATCATCAAGTTGAACTTTCCGAAGTGCAAGAAATCAAAGAAGCTATCAGCTCCAACCCGAACTGGATATTCCCGACACGATTAAGAATTTACTGAACCTCATTGAAATTCAACAAACGAAAAATCAAATACTAGAATAGAAGCAAATTCTGGACTCTTGATTCTGTTCTGGAGTCTTGATATGCTTTTTGTCTCCGACTTTTTGGGAATCGATCCTACTGAAAGTGAAAAAAAAGAGCACTCAACATGGAAAAGTACGACGCACAGACTGCATATAATTTCATTGCTTTTTTGTTCCAAACGTCTGAAACGTTTTTTTTTACTCGATTTTTTTTCTGCATGCAAATGTCATATTTTCTCAATTGGTTTTCTGTATCGTTTTAATCTTGCTTACGCACTTGCAGTTAGGAAACTCTCTCATGCGCGTGATGGGATTTTTTTTTGCGGTGGTGAACTCGGAAAACAGAATTACTCAACTGAGTATAATCATTTAAAAATAAGTGATTTAGGCATAAAATTCACTTAACCGAACTAAAGAGCTTTGGTAGTTTTTACGTATGAGCGCATTTAATCGTTGATTAGGACCTGTATCTTTCGAAGGTATCTTTTGAAATGTAATTAGGACCTTTATCCTTTAGTTTGAAATGTAAGTGCTTGAACTAGAAAGACGTTAAATTTTTGTTCGGGAAGTTCAATTACATTTTTCAATTTATTTCGTGTTATCTTCATTTATAAAAATTGCATAAACATATAATTAAATTGTACAATCTTTTTTGGACAGCAAAGCGTTTTTCAGATTGGGGGGGGGGGGATAAAAAGAGGGGGGCGGGTTGGTCTACGAATTTCAGATCTGTTCTAATTAAATTCATGTCGCAATTGAGCCAAAATATTTTGAACATCATTATAATGAAGGAGTAATTGAAAGCAGATTGTCTTTCTTTGCGCTGAAAATAGTTTTCTAGGGGCTGTTAAAACTGACCCCTTTCTATTGTCTTAGGTATAAATTTTACGGTGTAGAAAATTTGCTGGGTTCCTTGAGACCCCTACTAAGTTTGGATGCTTCTATAATC